CAGTGTTCACGCACAGGCCAGGATTCAGCGTGAGCGGCGTTTTTTGTGTTAACTTAAAAGGAATGTGTATGACTTAATGAACCGAAACATTTCTCTTCTGTTATTTTCTTCCTTGCGTCTTATATACTACAATAATAATTCGCAATCTAACTAACGATCTAGTACTAAATTATCACTTTATCATTATTCTAATAAACACACATAAGCTTGTTGCATGTGTAATAATCATTTACCCTGCTGCAGTCATAATACGTACTGCTGAAGTGGAATTCGAACATGCTCAGTTGCGATGCGTAACATGCGCGCATGTGAGGGGTAGGAGATACTGGAAGTTGATTTTACATTTCTAATCCCCACATCAACTTAGGAAATCACGAATCTATGGCTCTTTTCGTTTTTGGATCGTAAAATTAGCGAGGATTAAGACCTAAGGATGTAGATTAGCAAAGCTTAAAGCTTAAAACTTCAACTTAAAACTTAAAACTGGAAACTTCGAACTTAAAGCTTAAAAAGCTACCTTCGGCAACACAAGTTTCAGACTTCCAATCTTTCATTGATGAGAGCGCCTCGGAGTGTATCAGAACCGGGATCTCCAAATCGGAATTGTGCATTTGACGCAAATCAGTTTTTGCGTTTGATTTGCTGGATACTACCGGTTTCACGGTAACTTCGGAGCGGCGTGTAAGAACTGTTGGTTCCATGACATTTTTTGCTGATGGTATTTCCGAAATCACTGGAGTCAGCAGTTCCAACTCGTATTCACTTTCCTTAACCTTGAACAGCTGCCCACTCATTCCGCCTGATGGCATTTCCTCTTCTTTGCAAAGTACATGGCTTTCACCTATGTCTTCTCCTTCCAAGCCTTCATTTCTTCTATATACTGCCCTGAATGATAAATGAATTAGCGAGAAGTATTAGGAAAAATCACGTTTCGCTTTTTTGCGTCAACCATCAACGTTCTTTTCTCTCATTCCCTTTGTTCTCTCTCTGTTTTCTCTTTCTTTCACATATCCGTCTTACAAATTAGGCACATGACTGTTTGGTATATGGTGGATAGGGAGTTGTACTGATGAGTCCCGCTCTTATACGCACGCAGAGTTTGATATTTGTTTACAGCTAAGGGATGAAACATAGACTGCATCCTAACACGTTTACACATGACACAATCCAATACCTTCTATTCTACAATTTCCTTAAACAAAAAGACATTTGTTATGCTAAAGAGTTTTGGAGTTTTGCACTGCTAATCTTCGATGTGCTATGCAAAAATAATTCGCGGGTCCTCAACTTCCTACCAAAAACTTCTGGATTTGCTTTATTTATGACATCCAAAAGTGAACACCTTTGCCATCCATGACTTTGATACTGATTCATAGCTTCAACCGTAGCACTCTTAGCAGTAGTGGATGTAATAATTCTTGTATTCTCCTGGATATCCTGCCGATCACTTTCCACAACGCCATTCTTATTATCATCACTATTTTCATCCGCAGCAAGAAAAGTGTATTTTGTGATGATGCCACCGCTGTTTTCCCTTTTATCCAAGAACGACTGATCTGGAGCCGACGATATGGATGACAGCGATCCAGAATTACGAATATGTTTACGCTTCATTGGTTCTGTTGCAATATGCAGTCTCTTTCGTGATTCATGATCCGTGCAGTTAGCTCCATCTGCAAAACGGAATGAAAATCAGTCTGAGAAGTGTGAATATTAATTTGATATTAGATGCTAAGAAATATTTATTAACCTAAAGCAGAATTATAAACGCTATTCTAGCTGTGGATACCAGCTTATAGCTTTGTAGTGCAAGACTGGAAACCACAGCATATATGAAAGATTAATGTTTCAGCTAGGATTAAGACATCTCGATAAGTTGCATGGATGAAAACGAACCTATAATCGGCTTTCTCAAATTGTAGACGTGTACAGAAAAATCTGAGACGTTTCCGGTTTAGCTATATTCAAAGCATTCAAAAGCTTATAAGCCTCTTTGCTGTTTAAAATACTACAGTAAAAATTAGCTGGAGCTTAATAGTTTTGCTTGGTGCCCCTCATTCATTCCGGAGTGAGGTATTCCGAAATTCAAGATGCTTAGGACATAAGAATCGATCAAATTTCTAGTGTTGCACAAAAAAACATTCACACATAGCTGAAAAGTATTGTCAACAGAAATTACCGTGAAAAATAAGTGACTTGGATTTCCAGATATCTTGCACCTCGTAGTTCTTTGTTTCAAAATGTGCTTGTGGCGGATGAACCAAGTGGAATCGATGCATCCCGGATGCGCCTGCGTGCATTTTTGGCTTGATTGTGGGCTGTTCCACTGCAAATTCGGAATCCTTTTCGATTCCGGCGATGAAAACGGTAGAAGACGTAATGGAATCAGTGTCGGGCAGTAGTAATTCAGGTCCGTGGCTGGATTCATCAGTCTTCGTGAACTGCTGATCAACTTCTTCCGGAGGGACAGCTACTTTTTCCCATACTACAATCCTTTCATCGCCAGTTCCGCTTCCTTCACCTTCCAATCCACGATCGCCTTCCTTCACTATTCTGTAATGTATAGCATAGATAACGCTGATAAGTGATACATAGAGCATATTCACCAGTGAAAATGATGACATATGTAGATTATGATTAGTGTCAACCAGGAGCAAATTGCATCGAGCAGGACGATCCGGCAAAATTGCACTCGCCTTCTAGCTAGTCACAATAATATCAAAAGCTACAAAACGGTACTTTAAGCAGTCTTGGAAATGTTTTTTATATTTTTTAAAAAGCGGCATAATAAAAACATGAAATAATAGAGAAACACACAAACCCCGTGAAAAGTGTGACTGCAGGAGTGTGACTACAAAAGCAACAGATTTTTTTGGAAGCAACATTAACTATTGTCCCTACGGGCCGGTAACTGAAATAAATATGCACAGAGACAGATCCTTTTAGTGTGCTCTTCCAAAAAACAACTTAAAATATTTATTTTCTGCTGAAGTTTTCGAACAGTTTCTACCGAAAAATCTTTAAAATTAAAGCTGAAGGTACAACGAAAGCTTTTCAACCAAAACAGAACAATTTTTTTCCTGGCAATTCTTCGAAACACTTTTTACAAGGATTTTAACATTTTTTTTTTATATGATGGCCTATTCAACTGCGGTCTATTCAACAATATACCCATTTGAGCAGACACTAAGAATACTGCAACTGCCCAGAACATCAATGTGGGTATCACGCGTTAGTGAGATCATTGGTATGCTCGAATGCAGCTATGCCAGGATGCATTCTGCAGAGAGTATAAAAAATATTTTAGTGTCCGAAAAGTATAAATTTAAATTGATTTTTTTATCGAAACCTAGGTTTGAAGCGCAGTGGATTTGAGATATTTTTATCGCTACTTTAAAAAAAATAGCTAAAAATGCCCTTTTC